ACAAAATAATAATGATAATGGTGATAATAATGGAAAGAATAGAATTGATTAATTAGATATGGTTCAGTAGAATAATTAAATCAATTTGTAAGATTCAAATGAAAGAAGAAATTCGGTCAAAAATACTTTCAATTTTCAATACGATATTTGAATCAAATAAGTATATTCATTCATTTTGTAATGGAAGTTTAATGGATGTGTATGTATTATTATTTGAATTAGCAAATAAAAATAATGGAATTGGAATAAATGAAATAATATTTAAAACGATAATAAAATTATTTAAAACAGCAAATGAGGATTGTATAAATCAAAAAGAAGAAAATGAAAAGAGTAATAATTTAATAAATGATTTAAGTGTATTATTAAATGAGCTTTGCAACTTAATAATAGGAGATAAACCCGGAATAATAAAAAATAATAAAATTCAAATACCAACAAATATTATTTGTACTATTATATTATCAAATCGTCAGTTATTTGAAGTTTGTTATCCCTTTAAAAAATGAATTAAAATAAATATATTTATAAATTATAGAAACATAATTTTAAAGAATGTTTAACATCAGTTATAATTGAATTATGTATAAAGTTATTAGATAGTAATGAATTTGATCAAAGTTTATATTCATTAATTACTGGATTATTTACTCAATATGAAATACCTACTTTTATGACCTTATTTTCAAAAGTTATTCAATGCATTTCTACTACTAAATCAAAAGAAATACAATTTGCATTACTTCAATGTGTTTTAAATAAATTTTTATGTTCGTTTGAAAAACATGGTACTCAACAAATGTTACCACCAGCAAATGAATTTTCTGAGTTTGCAATAAAGAAATATCAAGAATATATAAGTCAACAAATAATAATACCATTTTCTTCATTTAAACTTGTAAGTGAATTTATCACAAAAACACCACAACCAGAATTAATAGAAGAAAGTAATTGTTGTATAACTACTAAAATAGTTATTAGTATTGTCACCTTTTTATTAGCAGATAAAGATGCTTTACTTATATCAGACAAACAGTTTAAAAATATTTTTAATGTTGTTGAAGAACAACTGCGTTATTTTATTGAATTGCCTATTCCTGTTCCATTGTTTAAAGAATATTTAATATTTGTTTTTAATGTTGTTTCTTTACTACTTTCAAATAATCTTCATGAAGAAGCAATAATTCTTATAAATATGATCATTAACACTTCTGGTCTTATTCCTTATCAACAAAATATTATTCAACAATTTAATGAGAAACAATTTGTTTGTGTAGATTGGTTAAAAAATTGTATAAAAGAATTTTCAAGTTCATTTAAAACAAATGAATTTCTTATAATATTACCATTTTTATCATCGTTAAATACAGTTATAAATATTTGTTCGTTAATTCAAATAAATAATGATATAATAAATATACCAAATTATTATTTGAATGAAAGTGATTTAATGAGTGATGAATTATATTGTATTTATATTAAAACATTAGTAGAGTTATGTCAAACAGTAATTGAAAGTTATTATCAAGAATCATTTAAAATAGATAAATATTATTTTGATCAATTATTTAATACCATTAAACTTCATCCAAAAAGATTTCTTCTAATAAAAGAATTTATTAAATTATTATTTATTAATACTGCACTTCACTCAGAAGAATCAATTAACTCATACTTTTTTGATTTAACTAATTCTATTCT